CCTAAGGTTTCTTGGCATGGGCTGGAGGTTTGAGATTGTAATTTGGTCTTTTGTTTTGTCATTTTCCTATATTTCTGTGTTTCAAGTGTTATTCCAAGGCTTCCCCAGGGCCTGTTGGAAATCCTCTTCTATGCCCTCAGCTCCTGGGACTCTGGTAACCCAGTTCCCCGGATTGAGGGATTGAGAGAGGGTCATTGGGTTGGGGCAGGCCAGCTCAAGACCTGCCAAGCTGGTCCAGTGCAACAGAAAGCCATGAAGTTCCCTGTCTTGGCCGAGCGAGGATCCCAAACTAGCTGGGCTAGGGGGATGATGCAGGGACACTCACTTCAGTTTGCCCACCCTCTGGAACAGATGGCACAGATGGCACTGGCAGGCCCAGAACTCCAGAGTCCGCAAGCACAGCAGGGAATGGTGAGACCTGTGTAGGCCAGTTCAAGATCCACCGAGCTGGTCCAGTCCCATTTTAAATATTTTCTAAGTAAAATAATGTTTAGATAAATATTAAATGTTATATCATACACATTCCATATTTGTATTATTTTATATTAAATAATGAATATTTTAGCAATACCAATATTCTATAAACAATTCTTATGTTTTAAGGTGAATATGTCCAATTCCAGCTTTCTTTTTGTCCCAGCATAGTTCAGTTAATATGGCATATTAATGATAATTTTAAGGGTTTTTTATTTTGGGGGATTCCAGTGAGAAAAAATATTTTTTATCTATTTATATAAGTCTTAGCTTTAGTTACCAGACTTCCCGTACATCTAACCAAATTCATCTAAAACAATAAAAGTAAAAATAGAGTTTTGAAAGTTTTGCTTTCTACTACCTTGCAACTGACCTGATCACTGATTTATTCTTAAATTGTATAGGCCAATTATTTTATAACTCAGATATTCCTCTACTTTAACACCTGTGTCAAATTAATGTTTCAATCATCCAGTAATTTTTCCCCAAACCATTCTATTTGAACCCAGAGACTGCTTCAGAACATTCCAGCTGCCACACCAAGACAGAAAGAACAGAAGAAAATAGAATTAAAGCTGAAAGAAAACTTTGTTAGTGTGAAGTTTTCTAGTATGTAGTCTACATTGAAATCCTTCACTCACTATAATTTTTAGAATGGTGAATGTAAAGGGTTGTTTTCATTATGAGGATAGTACTGTTGATGTACTACTATATTTTCACATCTGAAAAGTTTAACTCAAGGAGAGATGATTTCTCATTTTTATGACATTCTCTATGAATCCAAGAAACTCACTAATCTCTGTCCTTCATTTAATGCAGACTTTTCAACCACTGATCCCCCCAGCTACCCCCAAAACCTCCTCCTTGCTTGCTGCAGTAGAGGAAACAACAATCTCACATCTACAATCAATACATTGACTTAGAAATGATATTCGTATTTAAATGCTTTATCTTATAACTCATGTCCACTCATGAGTTGTTATTTTCCACCTGTATAGAAAGGTAGAATCAAATATCCTTGCAAATGTTAGAAATGCCTATCATGGGATTATGTATGAAACCTGACACAGTGTTTTCCTCTTAATAATCAGTGCATATCATGCCAACTCCAGTTTCAAGTATCCAAGGAAGTTAGCTTAATCTGAGTTTTGCATATATAGCTTTGGGTCACAGATGTGCCACAACTGGTATTCAGATATGTGTGATCTAAAACTTTGGACACAGACAACTAGAAAGTCCATTTTCAAGATATTGAGAGATAAATGAAGAGAGTATGATTGTAAGGGAGCAGAGAATTGAGAAGAAAATAATGTTCCTATAAGTAGTGATTTTGTAGTGATACTCTAGATATAATGCTAAAGAGTTATTTTATGATCAACTGTTAAAAGCTTTGTAGTAAATTTCTCTGGTACTTATGTTTAACAAATGAAATGTAATGCAATACAAAGAACTCTCTCTCAAGCTTTAGGATTAAATAGAACTAAATATTCTAAAAGCTGTGAGTTTCTGCAATAGGAGCTGGAACTATCTAACAATAAATAAAAAAAGATACCCAGTACAAGTGGCTAGAGGTCTAGGCAGTGATACCAGTGACCTGAAGATGCAGTGGTACCTAGAAATCAGAATTAATTTGAAAATGATGGTTCACAGCAGAAGTACAATGGATAGCCTAGAAGGGGTTGGTGATACAATAACGTGGCACAGAATGGGTTTCCAGGTTTCCAAAACCTGGAAATCTGTAGAGTTTCTATGGGTTAACAGGGCACATATCTTGGTAGTATCTGGCACGGGTCCACCTTAGCAAGAGACCAGTGTGGGCACCTGTCTCTCAGCTGCTGAGATGACCGTGGTTCACAGTTCACAGATGGTTCCTCTGTAGAGAATTGCTGGAAACCAACTTGGAGTGCTCTGGCTCAGGAGACTGTCTCCCTCTGAGACAGTCTGAAGTCAGGAACTTCCTGACCTGGAAAGTCTGCACTTGCCTCAAAGTGGGATCTACTTTGGGCCCTAGACATATTCCCAAGCCCTCTGTGGGAACAAGCAGAGCTACTTTTTATCTGACACCATGTTATCTGACTTGGCTTGAACTACTGAATCATCTTTTCTCCTTTCCTCAGAGACCTCAAGCCTTACCACAGTCTCCAAATCTAGATAGTTCACCATAGCAATGAGAAAAAATTAATGCTCTCTATGGAGCAGAGATAGTAAAACAGAAAGCAGATGCATTGAAATCCACAGAATAAAGACTTTCCCTTCCCAATATTTTCTCTCCCTGTTGGTTCAGCCTGGGAAACAACATTTTTCCTCTATGATTGCAAATCTGACCCACTCTGCTAGATTCACCTTGGAGCCTCCAGCTTTCATAGACCCTTCCCAGTCTCCTCTGAATTTAATCTACATATCATTTTTCATTAATTAAGCAACTGTCTTTTTAGCATTTTGACGTTTCAACAGCTTTTCTAAATAATTAATTTTTAAACACTGAATAGTGCTAAATATTAGGAATAATAAGACCAACAGGTCATGGGGCTGCTTGCCATTATCTTTATTTAATGGAAAATAGAGATATGAGGAATAATCAAAAATATGGTGAATGTTTACAGTTTAAAAATAAATCATTACAGTAAGACACACTGCCATTAATCCTCCTCAAATCAATTCCTCCTGAAATAGTCCTCCTCTTTCCCAACACACTCATCGCATCATTCTTGTCACCTTATAAAGCAGTTCTGGAGGTCTAAGTTCTGGAAGTCTTTGCTAAATGTCTTCAGTTATAGTGTTGCGGCTGCCTCTATATCTTGAATTAATTCAAATCAATATCTTTCTGCTTTGGAGAAGATTCAAAGTCAAATGATGCCAGATTCTGTGCATAAGCTTGAATAGGATTCCCTGTAATGTTTTTATAAGACAAAATTTACTGTATCAGATCTAGAACATTGAGTGCTGTCATGATAGAGAAGGAAACTGTTTTCCCCATTTAGCAGAACTTCCAGAATGCTAGTCATGGTATGCACCTGTAATCCTAGCACTTGAGAGGAGCATGCAGGAGAAATGCTGGGAGCTGGAGGCCAGCCTGGGCCACATAGTGAGACCCTGCCTCACTAAAGAAAAAAGAAAAATAGAAAGTGGCAAGAAAAATGGGATAGTACATTTGAAGTGAAGGAGAATATTCTGAGTGGAATTAATGGCAATATGTCTTTTATTGAAATAAGATTTTTAATTTAAAAATTTACTGTATTTTTGATTATCTCATGTGTGTAAACTTACTACAGTGTCTTTAAGTATGTAGCACAGTGTGAGAATTGAAGCATTTTTCAAAGGCAATATTTTAGCTGTGTTTTAAAGGATGGTTAGAAGTTTCAATAAAACTTTTATTGAAAAGTTGAAAGCAGGTGAAAAGTGGTACCATTGAAAATGGACCACTTAAGGTATTTATGAGTGACTCCCTGGTTATTCAGTGAAAATAATGTAAAGAGGAAGAAGAGAATAAAAAATAAATATGGAAAAACTAGTAATTATAAAAGGCTTTCAATGTCACACTAAGATATTTAACATAGTGATTAAAAAGGAGCCAACAAGCACTTGTTATTCCAGGGTAATGAAGCTATATTATAGCACAAGTCTTATTCTATATATTAGTCTGGGGTCTCAAGAGGAGAATTAATATACATATGGGATTTGTCAGGAAGGCTTATAGGATTAGCGGTAGAGAGGCCATCTATGTGGATACCTAGAGCATCCAGGAATAGCTCAGCCCTGGAAAGAAGATGGAAATTGCAGATAAGAGGGACCAAGGATAAAGTACCAGTCCAAAGTCACAGACCTGGGTGCTCATTGGAGAGTTGCCAGTGCAAGTCCCCATTGGAAGGCTGAAGATATGTGACACCTGAAGACAATGTCCAAAGGTGACAGTAGCAAAGGGCACACCTGCTTGGAAAGACCTGAGTTCAAAGTGAAGATGCTTCCTTCTTCTTTCCCTTTTTAGTCCACCCATGCTGAAAGCCTATTGGTTGGTGTCACCCAAATTCAGGACGAGTCTTTCCCCCTCAGTTTGCTGGCCTACCTGTGAATTATCCACAAACACACCGAAAACTGTGTTTTACTAATTACTAGGCATTTCCTAATCCAGTCTAGGTGGCAAATCATGATTAATGAGCACAATTTATGATTTCAGAAAAAGGTATTTCCTTATAGAAATTACAAAATATTTTAGATGTGAAAAATTTATAAAGTGCAATATAATAATAATTATTTTATAAAATTGATTCTCTTTGGTGCATGAATCTCGATTTTCTCCTCTTTCCCTGCTGTATACTGTTCTACTGTGTTATCTACTATCCTTTAGCTCTTCTTTTGTTGACATATGCTTAATTTGTTTCACCACAAATGTTGCATTCTGGACATCCTTCTACATGTTTCTTATATTTGTGGGGCAAAGACATACATGTAAAAATGAAATTTCAGGGTCATCATATATATATATATATATATATATATATATATATATATATCCATCTACTGCTGGTATGACTTGGACATGGTTTGAGTGAGTCCCTAAAATGTTCATATGCTGAAAACTTGGCTCTTATGATGACAAGGAGAGGCAGTGAAACAAGAATCTGGCCTAGTGCCAGATGCTTAGGTCACAGGGATTGCAGAAGAAATTAATGCAGTTTTCTTGAGCCTCTTAGTTAGCATGAAAGTTGTTGTAACAAAAAAAAGTCCCGGTCCCTGAGTCTCTCTCCTAGCTTGCTTACTTGCCATTTGCTCTCTCTTGCATGTTCTCACACTATTCTGATACCATCTCTCATGAGATTCAGCCCAAGTCAAAGAGATAGGGCTGCCCATGCTTGGTCTCCTAGCTTCCAAAATTGTGAACTGAATAAACCTCCTTTCCTTACAAAGTACCAAGCTCAGATATCTTGTTATAGCAACAGAAAACAGACTAAGAAAAGTTTTATTCAATATTGTTATCTAAAATCATTGTGCAGATGTATGCATTTGCCATTAGAGTATACATATTCCCTTTGTTCTTTTTTTATTTCCAATACGGTGTTATCCCTCTTGATATTTTTACCAGTTTTCATTTCCTTGACTTTTCTATCCTGTGCTTACATATCTATTGGATTGTTTATCTTTTTAGATTTTTAGAAAACCTTTGTCAGATGTATGTGCTAAAAATTCCTATTTTGTTCTGTGGCTTATTTTTGTATTTTTGTTTGTAGGAACGTGGTTTTGGTACCAAGACATTTAATATAGTGTAATATATAAAGCTAGTTTTTATATGTATGTTTTTGTTTGCTTGCTTACAAAACTGCTCTATACTCAAGTTCACAAAAACAGTGCCCTATATTTTTTGCCAAAACACTTAAAAATTATTGTTTTATTTAGGTCCTAATGAATTTTATTCTCTTTTTATGTGATGCGAAGTAGTGGATGATTTTTTTCTTTCTATGAAAGGTTCAGTTGATTCATTTTACAATAGATATTTTCCCTTGTTCGGAACCAACTGAAAAATAAAATTCAAAAAAATAATTTTGAAAGCTTCATTATTGAAAAAAAGAACCTTGGTTGAGATTATGGCTTTAGATCTCAAGGCAAATGGCTTTGCTAAAAATTGACTCCTACACTGGACATGATTATTCACCCAGTTGCTGTCACAGGTGGACTCTGGCAGCCTCCTATGACACAGAGATCCGTGCAGAGGAGAATGGGAAGAAGTCTCCTCATCTACCTCGAGGGAGGGAGCAGGGTCAGCCATACTGAAGTCCTCTCAGACTCAGCAGTCAGCTCACCAACATCGTTTAAAGATGCAGAGTCTGTAAAGAGTAAGAAATGAGAACAGGAGATAATATGAGCTGAAAGTATGCATGTAAAAACGTAAGAAGTGAAGGGTCAGAATCTTTGCCCCTTAATATTTGAAATATCAACAAGCACATAAATATGAAAGCTACGTTAAGATACGAGGGAGAGGCAGAGATGTGGGGCCATGTACAATACTGTGAAGTCAAACAGACAAACGAGCCTTTTCAAGATAGAACTTTTCAAGAATGAACTCAGTTTTGAATCCCAGTTCCAGTTCTGCTGTAGCCTGCCATGCTCTATTTTTCATGCTTGAATAAATTTTCCTACTGCATCCTTGTACGGGTGAGCATTTTGCTGTGCTTCTTAAAGCAAATTTGTTTCTTGAAACCATACAATCGATAAGTAGATTACAGAGACAGAGAGAAAGAGAAAAGAAAATGAAAGACACCTCCATGAAATAAATATTTTTCCAGAAGATTCTAGGTTATTATAATCCTGTACAGTAGCAGACAGTAGAAATAGTATGTCTGGAACAATTATTCTAAAATATAAACTATCATATATAAGCTTGTCCACAATGACAATGGTAGAATAAAAGTATATTTTCAAATCTCATTTCTGAGGGCAGTTAAAAAAATCAAAAGCATGCTGAGCATAGTGGCATACCCCTGTAATCCCATCACTCAGGGGGCTAAAGCAGGAGGATTGCAGCAAGTTTGAGATCAGCCTGGACCACAATGAGCTCAAAGCCAGCCTGATCTACATAGCAAGACCCTATCTCAAAACGAAAAAAAATTAAAGTCAAAAGTAATTAAATTAATTTTAAAAGATAGGCAAATATACTTGATCCAGTCACTCTCAAATTCATAAATTTCCATTTAAAAAACCTGTATTTGATTTAAAAATGTTAATGCATCACAAACAAGTGGATTTATGCTAGGAATGCATGAATGTTCTAATGTTGTACGATCAATTAATGTTGACATACACTGACAGAAGAAAACATTAGACAGTTACTGAAAATACTTAGCATACTGTTCGTGAAAGTCTTTTAACAAGCTTTGCAGTTTATTTAAGTATTAAAAAATGTCCCCTACAATCAGTAGTGACTATCACTATTTATTTGTTATTATCATTGTTATTTGAAGCTATACTAGAGAAGTAGTCAATATAGCCATGCATAAAAAACAAAAGGATTGGAAAGGAAAACACAAAACTATAATTATTCTGAATGACTCGATAGCACACATTTAAAAATGGCAGGAGACCATTAATGTATACTCAAAGAATCCACTAAACTGAGAAAGATAGCTAGATACAATGTCAATGCTTAGAACTTTGTCTTGCAAAATAAGAACATTAAAATTAAACCAATAGAATATCACCTAAAAATAACTAGCAATAAACCTGACAAAAACATGCATTTATAAAGCATTACTGATATAAATCAGCCAGCCATGGTGATACACACCTGATATTCTAGCACTTGCTGTGAGTTCAAAGCCAGCTTAGGCTACAGAATGAGTTCAAGGACAGTCTGAATTGTACAGGGAAACCCTATCTCAAAACACTGCCCCCAAAAGGAAGAAATCAACAAGAGTGGAGTAAATAGATGTAGGAAAATACTATGTTCATGAATTTTAAAACTCAATACTGTAAAAATAAATTCTGTCCAAATTGGTCAATAAATACAAGATAGATTTCAGTGATTTTTTGCTATAAATAGAGCAACAGATTAAAAATTCTATATTAAAATGAAAAGGCCAACAATAGCCAAAACCAGCTGGAATTTTTGCAATGGCACCAGAGACAGAGTTTAGTGGCTCAGTGCCTGCCTGGCAAGCACAGAATGGTAAGTTTGATTCTCGGTGCTAAAATAAATAAATAATCTTTAAAAATACATTAAAAAGAAAGCTAAAGAAATTGTACTACTAGACTGCTGGACTCATTAGAAATCTATAGTACTTAAAACTGTACAGTTTGGGAAAAAGGTAAATAAACTAGTGAAATAAAATTTAAAATCCAGCCTACATAGATGCTACAGATATGGACATAGATATGGATGTATAGATATATACTATACCCAACTGCTTCAACTGATTTATGATAAAGTGATATTATAACATAGAAAAATGAAAACATAGTATTTTTAAGAAAAGATGAATTTTTAACAGTTGCTAGATGAATTGGATATTTATATAAATTTTGATTTCTCCATCACATCATATATAACAATTCATTACAGATAGATTTTAAAGCTAAGTGTAAAATATAAAACACTAAATTTTCATATGGAAAGAAAGCAAAATATGCTCATGACCTAAGACAGAAAATTATTTCTTAAATAGGATTGCACAAAGGCTAAAGAGAAACAACGAATACAAATTAAAATTTTAAGATACAATTCATACTGAACAGTTAATACATTTTTAAGATACTAGCAGTGTTGAATGCTGAAGAGGATTTGAATCAAATGGAGTGATTATTTCCTAGTAGAAATAAACTAAAACTCCTGAGATACATATCCAATGACCCTGCAATTCCATTCTTAGGCAAGTGTCCAAAAGAAAGTCACATAAGTTTCAGCAAAAGAGAATGACAGTGTTCATGGCTACACTAATTATAATTGCTCTCAACTAGAAATAGCCTAGTGCCTAAATTATAAATTGTGGTATAGTGAGTTGATATGCAAAGTATGATATATTGCTACACAGTAATGGGAATAAGTGAATTCTAACTATAGTAATGATATTTGACACAAATATTTGAAGTGAAAGATTAAAACATAAAATAGTGCCTTCTCTATGATTCCACTTACGTAAAGTTTAAAACCTCAGGATAGCGATTTTCCTTGAGAGTTACTGACTAGAATATTGGAAAAGAAGCCTTCTGTGTACAGACGATGGTCTACTTTCTACTATGGTTGCTGGACCCGCACAGATGTCATCACTTTGTAATGACAACCAAAAAACCAGAGGCTGCACACATATGATTTGTGTATTTTCCAGCATGTGTTTTATACTCTAATAATAAGTTATCTAGAAAATGTCTTCCCAAGATTCTAATTCAAGAGATCCTTTACACTTACATTCACTGATTCCCAATTGACTGGTTTTTTCAGAAAATCCTTCAGAAACACCCCAACTTTTGATTAACAGAAGCAGTTTCTGCAGCTAGCCTTCTTTTTGGCCAACTGTATCTCAGTAAAAACAAAATTCCAGTGCACATGTGCATTCAGGATCCTTAAGTGATAATGCATTTCACGTGCTAATGAAGTTCAAGGGTATTGTTTCTTTTTATTATTATTATTTAAAGAGGAAAAAAGAAAGGAAATAAAAAATCAAAGCAGTAAAAGGGTACAACTAATACAGAATTTCAAGAAAAGAAATACAGTAAGATATCACTAGTTAATAGGTTACATATTGTCATCTTAGAAACAGTTGTCCAAATTATAAAATTAAAGCCTATAAAGTGTACATTCATACAATGAGATTGCAGACAGTCCAACAAAAGCTAAGTAATATGGATTTCCATCCTACACACTCAAACATACACGCAGTTATATCCTTTAGACCACCTTCCTTTCTTCTCTTTATAGTAACAATTACACTTTTTGGTTTTTTTTTTTTATTCCCACAGTTCTTATTACTTTTTTGAAGAGAATAAAACCTAACGTGACTAAACAAAACAGAGTTGGTTAGAACAGAAGGATGGGCATAGTACATGGAGCAAAAATAGAATATCAGGTGATCAAAAATAAGTACCACTTGCCTCTTGCTATTTTTAAAAAGAGTTGTCTATATCATCAGGTATAATAGAATTGATCAAAACAGTACAGAACAAGACCAATAAAACCTACACTGGAGACCTTACAGGATTTCAAAAGAAGATAATAGTCAAACCATAATGGGCATCATAGTGAATCTTATTGCCTTCAAAGTGGTTGCCTATGCCCTTAAGCTTGATACTATCAAAAAAATAGAATATAATAAAATCTGACAGAACAAGATAGGGAGAGCAATACTGGGTTTCATATCAGGTTAATAGGAAAACAAAAAAGTTATTATAATATATCCCGCTATTTTTTTTTTTTTGGTCTTTTTCATTTTTATCGGTACCAGGGATCGAACTCATGACTGCCTGCTTGCAAGGCAAGTGCTTATGCCCCTGAGCTAAATCCCCAGCCCCTATCCAGCTATTTTTTAATTTAGTTTTCCCTTAATTGAAAAAAAAGTAAGAAAAAAATAGATTAATTTTAAAAAGGGTGGAGATTGAGATAAAAGAGGACATTGTAATAGAACAACACAGGTCAGAACCGAACAATTTAAGCATCATTGTGTTTCACCACCAGATAATCTAATATAATAGTCCTCCTTCCTTGAATTATTTGAGTATAACTTCATATACTGTAGCATCAAGCATATCAAGACAGTCTGAAGCTATTCAAGAGAATGAAGAAGTTACAGGGTATTTAGAACCAGTTAACAGAAAATGAACAACGGTTTCTATATTATCTCTTTGCCTATAAAAAATTTTGTTTATACTATCACATATAGTAAAATATAGTAAGATACCACATGTTAAAACTAGTGGAAACAGATGTACAACAGCTTGATGGGACTTCAAAACCAGATGATATTAAATCAGCACTAGCTTTTATGATGTGTTGTTTTCTTCAGAATAGCTATTCGTACAATCACCGATACTAAAATAGAACAACCCAAGGGTATTGTTTCTTATCTCCAGATTTTTAGGTTGACTTTTGGCCACCGTGCTCCACATGGAGCTGGCTCCATGAGCACTTGTGTCCTGGAGCACGCTCAGTGCTGAGATTTACAGTGACCAGATTGCCTTGTGCAGCTACCATCTTTCACCAACACTATTAGTGTAGGACAAGTCCAACCTGACTTATTTTAGACACTTTGTAATTAAGCATAGTTCACTCAGAACTAGCAAAAATGTTCTCCAGAAAAATGAAATTTTCTCCTATCATACCATTACTTGGCTCCAAGTT